TACTCCCAGCACTCCCCCGCCACACACACACATACACCGCATTGTGAAGGGCCACACACTCCTAGCTACTCAGGAGGCTGAGATAGGAGGATTGAGGTTCAAAGCCATCTGAGAGAAAGTCCTTGATACTCTTCGGTTAACCAGCAAAAGCTAGATGTGGAAATGTGGTTCAAATGGGATTTTTTTTTTATCCACATTGTGAAGAGCCCAAGAGGTGAGGCTCGCTTTGGCTCCTTCAGTCCTACTGGAGGCCAGTGCCACTGCTAATTCAGCTGTGCACACCAAAGGGCTAAACAGACACATGTAACTTAGTAGGGTCCAGAGCAAAGCAGATATCATTTATTGTGGTAGTAACATGGAAGAACCCAGTTTTGACATAACCCTCCCCCCCACTGGACCTAGCTTTGGCATGAGGATGAATCATCTTGGTTGTCCTTACAAAACCATTTAGAGCTATGCCTGGCTGCCAGCAACAGACCCTGAATGATGAATTCATAAGTCAGAGGGTATTTTCTCACATCAGATCTCTGGGGAGAATTACAAATGTTGATTTCACCCTCAGTAATGTCAGAGGTTGTGTTTCTTGGACTTTCTCTTGTGATTGGGAGATAGCTGCTGTAGCTCAAGTCATCATGTCAGCATTCAAGGCAGGTAGGTGAACAAAAGACAAATTGCTATACCAGCCACTTCTGATCCTTTATCAAGAAAGAGAAGGTTTCTTTGAAGTGGCCTCTGGAGCTCTGCTATATTCTGGCTGGAAATAGTCACATAGACACAACTAGCCACAATGCAGGTTGGAAGGCATGAGGGAGAGGATTGTTATGACTGGCTTATTCCCTGGGGTCCAGGTATATCATTGCCCTAAACCAAAACAGAACTCTGTTAGTGAGAAAGAGATAGAGAATAGATTTGGGGCGCTAGCATTTACCACACTGCCCTTTACCTCTGATGTAGGCAAGTCTGTATACCAGAGAAAAAGAGAGAGAGAGAGAGAGTTTACAGGGGAGGGTACAGCCATTAGAAGCATTCTAAGACCCTGAGGTTAGAGACTAAGTCAGGCTTCCTTTTGGTTCCTAGAAAAACAAGACTTAAAGAAATGGGAAATCACTTGAGATACAGTTAACTACCCAGGATGGTGGCCACGACCCAAACAGTTCTTGCAAAATTTTGGATTGGTCCCCACAGCCAGAGTTTCTAGTTGTTGAACATAGCCTCTTCAGAAACCCAGCCCAGTCCTGTAGGAACCATAAAACACCCCTTCAACCCCTCAGTCCCCTTGAAGCAAATCTCAGCCCATCCGGCTCTCTGGTGTGGGTGTGGAAAGTTGGGCAGCAGTTATGATCCCCACCCTAGTTATCATCAGTTCTTTTTTTTTTTTTTGTCAGTCATGGGGCTTGAACTCGGCGTGGGCACTGCCCTTCAGCTCTTCAGCTCAAGACTAGCACTCTACTGCTTGAGCCACAGTGCCATTTCCAGTTTTCTAGTGGTTTTTTATTGGAGATAAGAGTGTCACAGACTTTCCTGCCCGCTTTGAATTGTGATCCTCAGATCTCAGCCTGCTGAGTAGCTAGGATTACAGGTGTGAGCCACCAGCGCCTGGCGCTATCACCAGTTCTATTCCCCAAGGCCCTGTAAAGCAGCCTCAGGTGACCAGGATCAGGGATGGTGCTTTGAGGCTAGCATACAGGGAGTAAACATGTGGTGGTCTGGGCTGTATCAGACCTGACTTTCTTTAGACAGCAACTAGTTTTAATGAGAAAAAAAAAGATTTATAGAAAAAATAAGTTGAAAAGAATCCCTTCTTTTGTTGTTTCCCCTACTTCCTCCAGTTTGGAAAGACCTCTGTGACTTGAGTTTTGGAGCAGACACTGCTGTGGCTCATGGACACAGTCTGAAAAAGTAACACTGGGCCCTGATGGTTCATTCATTCATTCATCTATCCATCCATTCACTCACTCATTCAGCCAGTGATCAGCTAATGATCCTTGAAGGCCCCTGTGTGAGGCATTGCTAACAGAGAGAAAGACACTGTTGTCACAGCCTGAATAAAGGTGTTGGGAGCCACCAGGTGGGTGGTGCATTGGAGAGAGCTTAGGGATGGCTTCCTGGAGGAAGTGGCACCAGTGCATTCTCGATTGGTCAGTCATGGTGGCACAGCTGAGGGGGAAATAGGAAATATATTTCAGCCCAGGGATCAGCCTGGACACAAGCTAAGGACGAAGAATAATCCTGGTGTGGGCACTATGAGGGGGTCAGCAAGGGTAGCCAGCAGCACACAGGACTCACTGCACAATCTGTAGGCCAAGAGCTGGTCCCACTGCCTTCCCAAGAGCCCTTTTCTCCCTCTGCCCTAGTTGAGAGTGAGAAAGGGCAGAGCTGACAAACTGGGGCCCTGTAGCCCATGCTTGCTGTGACTAGTATTTGCCTCTGAGAACCACCAGACTCCAAGATTTGCATCCTCTGACAAAATCTCACCTCAGGGTGATGAAGGTCTCCAAAGACACACCTGAAAAGGAAGTGACTAGAGCAAAGGAGCAAAGTACTCTAAAAGCCAGAAGACTTTCATTCCCATCCATATCTTAAAGGGCCAAGGCTCTCTAATCCCAGAGCCTGGGAGTCAGCTGCCAAGACTTCCCCAAAGCTGAGACGACCTGTACCAAAGGTCCCTCCTACCTACTTTTTCCCCAGGCCAGTTCTACCTTGTTTTCCCAGAGATGTGCCTTCCTGCACATGGCAGAGGCCATCTCCTCCCAGACTTCAGCCTGTACTTCCCAGGCTAGGAACAGCTGGGTTACAAGAGGCAACTGGGCCAGCCCCAGGCCTGCCATACAATGGTATGCTACCGCACCACAGGAAGTCATTGCACAGTCAGCCTTGTGTGAGCTCCGGGACACAGAGAGGGAGCCCTGGACTGGGGAGAGGCCCTAATGGCCATCAGGAAGGGTTAGGCCTGCAAGAGGAAGGGATGGGCCCAGGGAAGAAGGATGGAAGGCAAATGGAGGTCAGGAGCTGAACCCTGGCCAAGTCCCAGAAGTACCCTTGGCAGGAGGTAGAAAAGCCGGGACAGAACGCCTGCCACATGAATTGCAGCCATCAGGAAATAGTTCCAGATAACAAGTCCCGACTTCTCAGGCTGCTGAGGACAAGCAAAGGACCAGCTGGAATAGGAAACAGAATCTCTAATGTCTACTTCTGACCCACAAGGCCCTAGCTGTGACCTTTCAGTGACATGGGAGGCCTGGGTTGCTCACCACATTTGGGGTGGAGAGCTCCTTCTGTTTATCACTCCTGACCTCTGCAGCTTCTGAGATCCCTGCTTCCCCTGGCCGGGCTCAGGACCTGCATCTGTACCCACACCAGCCCAATGGAACTGCTCCAAACCCTTGCCTTCCCTTTGCTTCCTAAAGGACCTTCTGAAGTTGCTGAGATGCTGAGCATGCCACTGACTGAGTGCTTTCAGAGATCAGCATAGAGTATGTTCCTTCTCTGACCCCTAATGCAAGTGAGGTGGGTACATAGGCAGCTGCACCTCCCAGGAATCTTTTGGTTTCATGGTTACCAGGCAGGAAGGAATCACAAGCACTGGGGCTAGAAGGAACCTGCACAGTAGTTTCAGGAGCTCTCGACTCATGAGAAGGTTAAGGCAGGCTTAGCATAGATAGGAACATTTTTTTGGTGTGGTGTTGAGGTAGAACCATAAACTAGTAGGCACAATTTCCTTCAGGATCCTGCTATATGGAATAGACAAATTCAAGGTGAGAGCTCCACCAGGCCCAGGTTTCTCATGCCATTCCATTCAGTGTAGGGAAGATCCCAGGCCTGGGAAGAAGGAGACCCAAGCTTGAGTCCCAACATTTACTTGTCTCAAAACACAGCCTTTCAGAACCTCAGTTTCCTTGTGCATTAAATGGGGGACAGAACAGCTTCTCAAGATGAGGTGAGGAAAGACTCAAATAAACAATGACATGGGGGGAAAAGTATTTTTTAATCAAAGAATATGTTAACAGAGAAGGTACAGATACGACACATATACAGCCATATCCTTTTTTCTGCCCAGGGCAGGCACTGCTAGCACTTTCTCACTAAGCTACATTAGTATACCAGAATCCCTCTCATCATCTATTCCAGGAAGCCACACCAATAGGTGAGAGTTGTGACATCAGTCCCTCGGTCTGCATACACTCAAGCATTACTACTGTAAAGGACCTAGAAGTTGGTAGCATGGCCCAGAAAACATGGCATCCTGGTTCAAGCCATCACCAAATGGCTGTGTCTCAGCTAGTCAGCTCTGCCACCAGGCCCCACCTACCCTGGGACTCACAGAATAGTTAAGGAGACACTGAGATCCTGGGGAAAGAAAAAAGACAATGCAAAGCAGGGACTTCTCAGTGAAGAGGCCAGACAGCCAGTGATCTCTAGACTGGGACAGGCACTCAGCTGGCCTGACTTTTTTCAAGTAAAGCTTTGCCCCCAGCATCCTGGCTGGCCATCCTCGTTCCTCTTTTCACTTATTGCGGTTCCCTGAGCAAATTGCAGCCCAGCCCCCAGCCTAGCCAGGCCAGACCAGAGATGGCTCCCACTGGCACCCATGCGACACTCACTTCTCAGAGACAGACAGGGCTTTGGGGGCAAGGTGTGGTGGGGAGAGCAGGTCTTGCAACCCTAGCCTCTCTGCCTCCTCAGAGTCTCATCTCTGCAGAGTACTTCCCTGTCTCCAACTCTGCACTGTGGCAGGCAAGTGAGCCATGGGTAGACTGGAGCAGTCCCAGGGCTGTTTTGTTTTGTTTTGGTTTTTTTTTTTTTTTTGGTTCCGGTCGTGGGGCCTGAACTCTGGGCTTGGGCGCTGTCCCTCAGCTCTTCAGCTCAAGGCGAGCGCTATACTACTTGAGCCACAGTGCCACTTCTGGCTTTTTTTCTTTTTGCTTATGTGGTGCTGAGGAATCGAACCCAGGGCCTCATGCATGCAAGGCAAGTGCTCTACCACTGAGCCACCTTGTTTTGTTTTGTTTTTTTAAGAAAAAAGTCCAGGGGACTTTGCAAGCCCACCAGAGGGCTTGTCACCACAATGGCCTGTGGCCTGTCAGGCATCAGAAACTTATGGATCTTTGATTCTAGTCCCTGAAAAGCTTTTCAAAATGTGAAAATCTGGAGACAGGGACACTGAACTAGCTCTTAAAGTACAGACTTCCCTCCTGGGCCTCCACCAGTGCCAGGAGCAAGTTGCTTCCAGGCTCTGGGCACCTGCTGCCTTTGGAAGCTCCCTGTTCATGCCTGTCCCCATCCTGTCACAACCCCCAGAGACACCACCATCGCAGGCAGCCCCTGTACAGCAGCAGCAGCAGCAGCAGCAGCAGCAGCAGCAGCGATATCTGTGGGGCTGCTTCAGGCAGACCAGGATAAAGATGGAGCCTGGAGCTCACAGTAAATTTTACTGAAAACAGGAAACCACGAAAATGAGCCTCGCTCACTTGCAGGGTCCAGAGAAGAGGAGAGCTGTGCAGTGCACGAGGAAGCCCGGCAGGAAGTGGGGTAGCTGTTCTGCTAGGGCCTCCTCCCCTCTCCCCACAGCAGCAGAGAGGCTTTGGGGTGGAGGGGATGCTGGCAGCCAAATTCTTAGAAGTTGTCTCTTCATCAAAGTCCAAAGCTGAGAGGTGGGCTCAGGTTCATCTCCCGGGGGACAAGCCACACTTCCTGAGTGTAGCATGTAGGGTTTGTCATTCAACCCTAGGGATGGTACAGTCCTGCCACACAACATCTGCCACCTCCCTACTCCTGCCCAGGGCCCCTCCAGGGGCTGGGAGGACAGCTGGAGTGTCCATGGAAGCAGATGGAGTAGAAGAGGGTATCCTAGGAACAAAGCAGGAGCCAGGGTGTGGGTGTCCTGGCCACTTGGAGGTATCATCCCTATGGAGAAAATGGAACTTATTCTGCAAGACCTCATCCCCTACCCCAGACACAGCAGGAGGCCACAATGTTCAGACCCTTTCCCCCCTCCTCCATCTCATCTCCAGGTACTGATGGACTTCTGGCCTGCTCTGGCCCAAGCCCCAGTGCTGTTTCTGACACCTAAGCTTGGTTCAGCAGTGCCAGGAGACTAGATGCTCTCATTTAAACTCTAACCTCTGTGTGCCAGGCTTGGGTCCCGCTGGGGGTTAGAGGCCAATTTGCCCCACCTTGCCCTCTCCACTCTCAAGTGCCATCCCCACCTGTCCTGTTTCTCCCCCCCCCCACTCTTTTCTCCCATGCTTTTAAAAGCCTTGAGTGGCAGTTCCATAGAATGTTCCCTACCATGGGCAGTGGAGTAGTAAGGCGGGAGGGCAGGAGGGCCGCTTCTGTTCTCTGCCCTCCACCCTCCCTCTCTACCAGCCACAACAGGTGGCACAACCTCTTGCCTCAAGCCTGGCCTCAAATTGCCCAAGACATCAGTTGGCTCACAGTGGACCCTAATATGTACTTCCTATACCTCTAGCCACTGAACGCTTGAAAACAGAATACAGGTGATAGGAGCCCCAAATTTGCCTTATCTGTTGGTAAAGCCTCAGATGGCTGGTAGAAAACTGTGAGGAAGCCCTATGGTGAGAGCCAGACAGACCCCAGCTGGGGAGCTCAGACATGCAATGAGGCCAACAAACAGTGAACCCAGGCCAGCCAACAGCAGCAGGAGTCTCCACATTTTGTCGTATGTGTCTCTTGTCTATGAAGTGGCACTAGGGGATCCTGCCCAGTGCCTACATCATTTCATCTGTGCTGCCAGGGCCCCAGACTCCTGTCCCAGGCAGGGAGGCTACTGCACAGCTGGAAATTCTGGAACTTCATAGGTTATAGGTCATTTGGCATCTGTAGTTGGTGAATTTCAGGTCTCTAGGGAGGAACCAGCATCCCAGCATCCTTAAGAACAGGATTAGTAACCCAAGATCTTCTCCCATCCTCGAGTAGCATCTAGAAAGATGAGAGGCCTGCCTAGGCCTCAGGGGGAAGGCAGAATCTAGGCTCAGAGCAGGAAGGAAGGGACCAAGGAGGCCAGCCTTGGCTCAAATGCACCTGTCCCAGACACAGCCCACCCCTGCCCACACTGTCCTTCAGCTGATCTAGTTGAACTCAGAGTTTGGGGAATCCGGAACTGGATCTGCAAACAAGAAGGGAAAGAAAGTGAACACAGAGCTCCTCATCCTTCATTCCCCACTCCACCCCTGAGGTGGTGAGAACTCCTGAGGGAAGGTGGCCTGCAGACCCCTATGAAGCCCAGGAAGCACTCACCTAGGGATGGAAAGAAGACGTCTCCAGGGCCTGGAGGAGACAGAGGTGTGTTGGGCTCTGAGAGGAGGTGCCGTCCAGACTCTGAAGGCTGCCGTTGGGCCATGTAGGACAGAGGGGGCCTGACCTTGGCCTCGGGCAATCCCTGGGAGGATGGAGGAGCCTCAAAGCCAGGGTTTTCAATTCCTTGGGGGCTGCTGCTAGAGAAACAGACCTGAAGGTCAGCAACAATGTCTAGAGTACAGCCTCTCTATCCTCTCAGCCTCCACTTTTCTGGTCCTCCATGCCTCCCTTCTCTTACAAAGCCTCTAGCGCATCTCCCAGATATCAAGGAGGAGGAGCCCAGCCTAAGGAGAGGCAAAGGCTGGGCTGTACTTGTCTCACCTGCCCTGAGCCAAGGACATGGGCATCTACTACAACTGACCACACAGTTCCTACTACAGTCTGACCATCAACAGCCAGTGTTAATCACAAAATATTGGCTTCTAGAGTTTGGGGACAAGGATTGAACATCCCTGAGCCTATTTGAGCTGAGAAGAGGGCTCTCTCTCTTTTCCCTTGAGAAAAGGATCATCTAGAAAGCCCTTCCACCTCTGAGGTCCCCAAGGGATCTTTGACCACATCTATCTTGGAATTGAGCTCTGGATTTAGGTGTTGCAGGAGAGGAGCCAAGTTCCTAAGTGAGGCTCCTTCCTGGGCCTAGTCTGGGGGCCATGCTGCAGACAAGCTTCCTGCCCAACACTCAGATGCACAATCCCCAGCTCACCTTCCTTGACCTGCTGTCTACCCTGAAGCCTCCATGGCCACCTCCTGCCTTTGGAGCCTGATAGCATTCTCTTGGGAGCCCCCCACCCCATGATGTAGGCTCTGCATGTTTCAGCATCTAACCCCTGTCAACTGCTTCCTCCCTGCCTATCCTTGGTCAGGCTGACCACTGAGACCCAAAGGTGGATAGGTAGAGCCTGCTGGGCAAGGGGCAGCAGGGAGAATAGCCAAAACTAGTACAGATGTGTTGGGATCTAACAACAAGAGGCAGATGCTTTTCTGAACAACTGGCCTATGCAAACAGAGGCAAACTACACAGAAATGTCCCTTCCTATCAGCTGGCCCAAGGAAATTTTCTCCAGGTCTCTACGGGCCTTACCTGTCCATCCGCACCAACTCCTGGGCCCCTAGGAACAGAGAAAGAAGCTGATCATAGGCAGGAAGGCTTTCTGGTACAACAGCCCTTCTTTGAACCCTGATGGCAGCTCCCCATAGGGACCATTAGGACTCTGTCCAGCCCTGGAGTAATTCCATTCTGTTCCCTCTGGAGGCTGTGCTCTATAGTTGTGTCCTGCAGGTAGGCCCCAAGGAGCCACCCATTCTTAACTACGGATAAGTGAAATGATTTTCTTAGAATGTTTCTCACAGGGAAACTGAAGGTAGCTGACACTTTCCCCCTAGACCTGGCTTGCCACAAGGTCACACCTTCAGGATTTAAGTGTCAAAAGGGCTGAGTCTTGCATTTGCTAACTGTGGCTTCCTGCTTGGCCATTTGCCCCATTCTAGTCTTTAGCCATGACTTCCTGGGAGGCGTGTTTGAGGTTGGTTCCCAATTATAGGGCCTGCTCTTTAACATCCTCCTTATTACCTAACAGAGAACCCTAGATGTGAGCAAGCCATCTCTTCCCAGCTTTCCACCCATTTTCTGCTCCTCATCCAAGCTGCTGCTGCCTAGTCCCATTCTTGGGGTTCCCCACCCCATAAATTGGCTACCAACCAGATATAGAGGTCCTAACTTCCCTCTTTCTTGCAGCTCCCCACCCCTTCCCACTGATCCTTCTCCAATTAAGGAGTTTGGCTGCTGCTGACATGGGGAAACCAGCCTGATTGGGGGAGGGGTGCCACTACAGAACCAACAAGAGGAAGTTACACGAATGTCCCTGAAATCCACTAGATCCTGGCTCCTGTATAACGAGAGACTCTGTGTCAGGCTTCACAGGGGTGTACAGTAAGTGTGTTCCTCCGGCAGCTCATCCACTTCACTGCCCACCGGGGAAAGGATGTCTGTCCCACTTGGAAGCTGGGGAAATTAAGTCATAATCTAAAGCTGGAGAGGCATCCACACCTAGCAAACTGCCTTCTGCCCCTCCCACCAGTCCTTTCTTTTGTCTTTTATCCTGAGTATGGCTCGTTCATGACCATCTCCTCCAAGCTAGGGTCCTGGAGCTTCCTGTTCAGAGCATACCATGCACGCACAAACACACTGTCCCCCCATCTGCTGCCCATACTGGTCAGCCTCTGCCTGCATCCTGAGACTTTCATCTGTACCCCCATAGAGCAGACCCAACCTTTGCTCCCTGTCTCCTGAGCACCTCATCCTCTGCTATCCCTAAGTCTGAAGTTATGTAACAATTATTTTTCTTTTGAAGGGTGAGAAGGGCCTGTCCTCTAGTGTGGTTTTGTCCAGAGATGATTCTTGTTCCCCTTTTGTTATTAAACATGGCATATCTAGAGTAAGCTGTGGTACAAGGCTGTCTTCCACAGAAGAGGGTTCATTTGCAGCCTCAGGGGAGGTACTCAGAGTGGGACAGTGCACCCCCAGCAGGCCATCTGTCCTCACCCACCCCTCTTCCAGTCCAGTTCACCTAGGCCATCCTGGGATGCTTGGGACCTTCCTAGGAAGCCCCAAAGCCAGCACTAAGACTGAAGGTGTCATGGTCTGTGGGGCAAGAGGCCCCCTACCCCAGGTCCTCAAGATACCCCACAGCATTCTGGCCTGCTGCTATCCCCTCTCTAATTTTCCTTTCTAAGGCCATCTCCATCTCATGGGCACAGCAGGTACTCTATCAGAAAGACTGGGCCCAACCAAGGCAGGTATATGCCCCCCCCCACCTCACCCCACCATGGCTCAGACAGCATCCTCCACCCAGAACTTGTTTGTTCTCTAGTTCCTGTTCCCAGTTCTGACCACATGACAAAGCAGCACTGTGGTCAGGGATGAAGGGGACAAGTGGCACCTTCCTGTCCCCTCCCTGCCTATAGGAACCTTCACTGCTTAAAGAACAGCAGCTCATGGTAACTCTGCAGCTTTGTCTCTTCTAAACTGAGCCCCTAGTTCTTCTGCTACCACCCCACCTTCCTGCTGGCCTGGGGATTCCTGCGGGCAGGTCATGGTGGGGCTCTGAAAAAACAGGGCAGTCCTGAGTGGAAGGGTGTGGTGGTCCAGCCCCATTATCTTACACTGGAGCTCCAGACTAGGCTGCACGCTCTTTCTCTCTCTCTCTCTCTTAGAGAGAGAGCAGGGAGGGGCTTAGGTGTATACGGGTGTAGGAAATCAAGTGAGAGCTGGTGCTGCGTCCTCATTCAGTTACCTTCTGCAGTCCAGGGAAGAGGCCAGAAAGGGCTGCAGGAGCAAAAGATACTCCCTCCTACACTCAGAGGATTCAAGACTCAAGGGCAGGGCTCAGAGAGGGGTGTGTGAACCTGGTTTAGCCACTTATTTGTTGTGTGGTTTCTTAGGCAAGACAAGAACTTCTCTGAACCTCGGCCCACCCATCTGCAAGACGGGAACCATGATCATACTAAGTTCTTGGGGTTGTTGCAAGAACGAAGTCAGGGAGTGTTTGACAAGCTTGGCACAGTGCCTAGCACAGCGGCCCCATCCATTAGGGACTGTGGAGTGGGGTGTACACGCAAATAAGCATTTTTGTTATATGGTAGAATTATACTCCCAGGGTATAACAAAGGTAGAAAACTCTGGTTGAATCCCAGATCTGTGCTGTTACATAATATTTGGGTTTTATTGTTGTAGAGTTTTGCTTTTTGTTTTTTGTGCCAGTACTGAGGCTTGAACTTAGGGCCTTAGACTTAGCTTTTTCATTCAAGGCTGGCCTTCTACTCCTTGAGCCACAGATCCACTTCCCACTTTTTTGCTGATAGAATTTTCCTGCATGGGCTGGCTTCAAACTTTGATCTTCAGATCTCAGCTTCCTGAGCTGCCGTGTCGAGCTATTATTTGGTAATATAGCTATTTAACTCCTGGCTTTTTATCTGTCAAAGGGCCAAACTAAGTGATAGGTAAGACCCCCTCCCTCTTCCCACACTACAGAAGTCATTTCTGTCCTAGTATTGCAACTAATTATAAAGCAAACCTTCCCATATGTTAGCTAAAGCAGGTCCCCAAGGATCTTTGGGGTTTTCTGTTGTTGTTGTTTGTTTATGGGTTTTTTTTTTGCCAGTTCTGGGGCTTGAACTCAGGGCCTGGGCACTATCCCTGAGTTTCTTTTTTGCTCAAGGCTAGCACTCTACCAATTGAGCCACAGGGCCACTTCTGGCTTTTTCTGTTTATGTGGTTCTGAGAAATCGAACAAGGGCTTCATGCATGCTAAGCAAGCACTCTACCACTAAGCCACATTCCCAGGCCCCCCCAAAGGATCTCTGAGTGGTGACATTCTTATAAACCAATCTGAGCTGTTCCTACAACTCTTTGTGATTATTCATTCATTCAACAGATATATTTTTTTTTGTTAAGTGCCAAACCAGCAGTGCCTGGGAACCAAAGCAGGTGACAAGCACTAAGGCCCCAGAAAAGGTGTTCCTGGGTACTCCCCCTCCCATCTCCCTGTAGGGTTGTAGCACAGAGCAAAGAGAAGCCTCTTGGTGCCTTATGCCATCACTGACTCCAGGGCTGGTCTAGGCAGGTCTCTCCCCCCACCCCACCCAGCAGCAGTACTCACGGCGGTGGGAGGCCACCTGCCTCTGCTTGTAGACCAGCAGCAGGATGAGCGGGAGGCAGAGGATGCCCACGATGCAGGCGCCCGTGGCCAGGGCTGCAGCTGTGATGTCTGTTAGGGCAAGAGGCAGCCAGTGTGAGGCCCCATTTCCACTGCTGCTCCCAAGGGAAAATGGAAGCCAAGGGAAAGGAGGCTAGGAAGCAGAGCCCCACAGTCAGACTTTCAGTATCCTGCAGAAGCATGGAGAGTCTGGCAATCCCCTTTCAAAGACAGCTCTATGCTCTCCCAGTGTGGCCCAGAGAAATAAGACCTGAAACCTACAGTGGACACAGGGAGAGATAGCAGACCCCTCATCTACCCACAAAGAACAGCTAGCTGGACCATCCTGGGCCCCAGGTTGTCCCATAAACAGGAAGCTGACCCTTCTCAGACTCCCATACTGCAGAGTTCAAGATCAAAGGGAGCCCAGGTGATAGGTCAATTCTACATACAAATGGTGGTAATGCCACACGACAACATTGGCATTCTGGATGACATTCTCAATGTCATCCAGATGCATGTCATGGAATTGCACACTTAAAGATGGTACAGGGCTGGGGAGGTGGCTCAGTGGTAAAGCGCTTGCCTTGCATGCCTGAGGCCCTGGGTTCGATTCCTCAGCACCACATAAGCAAAAAGAAAAAAGCTGGAAGTGGCGTTGTGGCTCAAGTGGTAAAGCGCTAGCCTTGAGCTGAAGAGCTGAGGGACAGCGCCCAGGCCTAGAGTTCAGGCCCCACTACCTGACCCCCCCCCAAAAAAAAGTTCAGGAGGCTGAGATGTGAGGATGGAGGTTCTAAGCCAGGCAGTGAAGAAAACTCTATAAAACTCTTATTACTAATTAATCACAACAAGGCCGTAAGTGGAGCTGTGGCTCAAGTGGTAGAGTGTTAGTCTTGAGCAAAATAAGCTCAGGGACAGCACCCAGGCTCTGAGTTCAAGCCCCAGGACTAGCACAAAAAATAAAAAGCAAAAATAATGAAGTCACATTAATAAAAAGAAATAATAAAGTACAAACAAATGGACTGGAGATATGGCTCAAGTGGAAGAGTGCTTGCTTAACATGGCCCTGAAGAAAGAGAAAAAGAGAGAGGTTCATCCTTGTCCAAATTTTCAAGTTTAAAATTTTTAAACTATGAAGCTACAGGTTAAGAAAATTTTCAAAACCATCCTTCTCCTTGACTAGCTCCTGGCCCCTGCCTCCCCAAGGAGACTCTCCCTGAACTTAGTCTGTCCATCTAGATTATCCTGTCACATGGAATCAGAGGACAATGGCTGAGTGAAACTTGGAATGGTTCTGTGTCCTCCCAGAGGCTCCACCACACAGGTCACCCCAAATTTATTGAGACCTTTCCCTCCTGGTAGACCCTATGTATGCTTCTATTTTTAACATACACTTGTTCTGTAGCCAGGAAGCTCTTGTGCTTGGTGCTCTGCTCACTTGGGCAAGTAACATCTGGATGTAAATTCCTAGCTTTCCAACACTGAGCAGAGAAGCTCGGCCTTCAAGCTCTTGTTAAATTGCCCTCCGGAAAGACTGTGCCATTTTACCATCCTGACAGCACGGGTTGGTTTGATTCATGTTAGCCCATCTGCTGACTGTAGGAGTTTAACTGGGAACAGACAAGCCAGTTGGAACCACAACCAGCATAAGCCCATTTCCTTCCCAATTTGAGCCCTTCCCTCAGCCAAAAGATGGCTGGGATCCCTTGTCACTGAGAGTGTTGGGCAGGAGGAAGTGCTGAACTAGAAATGTAGCCTTTGCATTTCATGTGAGAATAAAGGCCATTTTTATCTTACCGACTGGCTATAAACAACGGGGTGGTGTAAATAAGCTGGTGATGGGGGATGAGAGGAGTTGTTTGCACTGTAAAAAGAGAACAAATGGTTTTTAGGTACTTTAGAAGTACCCATTGGTACAGGGAACAGTTGCTGGACTAATTACAAAGCAAGTTCAGCTGCTCATTAAGGCAGGTTCCCTGCAGATTTTTACTGTGGCCTCGTGGTAACGCAGAATATTGGATGTGAAAGCATCCAGTAACTCAGACAGTTGGGTATTCCTAAACCCTATCAAAGAACTTCCCAGTGGGCCAAATCGGAGAGGCTGGTTGCAGAGTTCTTTGCTGGTGCTGAAAGCACACTTCCCCTGGCTGTTACTAAGCAACGCTTGATCTTGGTATGGTTTGCCAGGTGTTTAGTAATTCGGTCTGCCTGAGATGCTTGGCCTGATCTCCCTGCCTGACTCTTGACCACAGTGGTGGTTCCTCTTCTACAGGCCCTCCATGGGAACAGGATTTTTCTTCCAGAGCCTGAGGTTGGCATGTGGGCAGCCTTTGGGAGCCCGTCTGTGGGCCCAGCTGCCCTCAGAGGCTTTAGGTATCTCTAGATTCAACCTGGATAGAGTTCCCCATTCTCAGCCTGGGGCTTGAGCAGCTGCCTTCTGGGGAGAAGGGATGAGTGTGGTCACATCCAAAGCCTAGTTGCTTCTGGGAAGGTGATTAGGTGCTGGCAGAGGCAGTTGCCAATATCACACTAGGGTGTGCACTAGACCCTTACACAGCATATGAGATGCAAGGGTGCTGCCTACTCAGGCTGCATGCTGAAGGTACCTGAGGGTATTTGCCGAGGAAAGAGGATGGAGGCTGGAGGAAAGCAGATAGCATACCATGCTGTGTTGGAGTGAGGAGAACAATACAAATTGCCCATCCTTTCCCAGGCTAGGGATCAGGGAAAAGGGATGTGTTTTTGTTCCACCTTCCACTACCTTCCCCGCTGGAGGCTGACTTAGACTTTCATTCTTTCTTAGTCCAGTGACTCTGTCATCCCAAGGATAACATCTAGGTACTTGAGATGATGTTAGAGCAGGAAAACATAAAGAACTTGGTTGGAAACATCCTTAACTGACCAGGTACTGTATCTCTGGTCTGACAAGGAGCAGAGGTTGGGATGGTGACATGGGTCACCCGCAAATGGCTCTAGAAGTTGTTAGGACACAGGTCCAGGTCAACTATCTACTACTGTCTACCTGCCATCCTGTCTCGGCACAGAGGATGCATGAGTTGAATTGGGAAGTCAGTTCTAGAAGTGACAGTGGACATAGTTCTTAGCACCTCACATCTGATGCCTCCTCTTACCCACGAGACAACTCTGGAAAGTAAGTGCTATTCTTGTGCACAGAGAAGTCAAGCATCTTAGCTGATCTCAGGGTCTGAGCTCTCAACCACTTTACCACACTGCCTTTCACTATGGTCTATTGTTGCAATCATGGCCTGCAGCATACTTTGTTTTGTTTTTAGTTAGTTACTGACATTTTTGTTATTGAGACAGGCTGACTTTGAACCCAAGGTCCTCCTGCCACAGCCTCCCTTGTAGGGGATTATAGGAGTGCCCTACCATGCCCATGTCTCATTTTCAGAAAATTGTTAGGGGCAGGCTGGCCCCCTCAGGCAAGTGTGGGCTCAGAGAGTGAAGGGGCTCTGATGCTTCTCTTGGTGCTGGCTCTGAGAAGCCAGAAGAGAACCTCTTTACCTGCCTGAACTTTGGTCACGTGGGGGCAGAAGTGGAGGAGAAGTGTACAAAATCCCAGCAGCACTGCAAGTGTTTTCAAAGGAAGAAGTGGGAATGGGGTATTTACTCAGAATGGAATTGCAGTGGGGAAGTGAATGTCCCCTGCTCCCCATCAGATGGGCCGCCTGGACCTAGCATGCACTGCTGTATGGGCAGGAAGGGGCAATGTGGGGGAACTGAGGACAGTGGCAATGGTTTGGCACTGAGGTGACATTGGAGCTCTGTGGTGCCCTCTGAGTTCCACACAGATCCAACTTAGACTGAAATGCATGGTTCCTGACCAGCTTGCTGGTTTTAAAACAAATGGAGCTGGGCATCAGTGGCTCACACCTGTAATCCTAGTTACTCAGGAGGCTGAGATCTGAGGATCATAGTTCAAAGCCAGCCCAGGCAGGAAAGCCAGTGAGACTCCTATCTCCAATTAACCACCAGAAAACTGGAAGTGGCACTGTGGCTCAAGTGGTAGAGTGCTCGCCTTGAGCTGAAAAGCTGAGGGACAGCGCCCAGACCCAGAGTTCAAGCCCCACAACTGACAAAAAAAAAAAAAAAAAGTTGTTTGAGTCAAAAGCCACATGGCCTTTTAGTTGGGCCTTTGGCTTTGTGCTATAGTTAAGCTATTCTGGCTTAAGCCCCCATGTGTGCTCTGCTAGAGGACAATAACATTTTCCTTTCTGTATCTTCAAGGCCAAGGCTGGTCCACACTGAGTATCTGGTGAATGCTGGGGATCTTAGAAGAGTAGGGCACCCCTAAGATGTGTGCCCTGTGCCTACTGTTTCCAGGCTACTGGGCATTCTCACCCAACTTCTGAGTGTCTAGCTGTCCCTGGGGTTTGTGAGTTTGGGCAGAGTACACCACCTCTCTGGGCCTGCTTCCCAGTCTACATAGTGAAGATGATGGTGCCCATCTCCCAGATTACTCCCCTCCTTGGGGATCCTATGCAGCTGCAGCCATGGAGGAAGCAAAAGAACAGAAGTAACAGAGGTGACATGGGGACCCTGGGGTGTGGAGACTGAGGTGAGAGTTCAGAATGGGCCCCAAGTAGAAGATGAATATGGAACAGAGCACTCAGAAGGGACTGAGGGTGGCCTTACTGTCACTCTCCTCGGGGGAGGACGGGTATGTGATGCATTTGGAGGGGGCATCTTTGCCTGTGGGAGGAAAGACAGGGCCATTAGGTGGGTATCAGACCCAGGGGCCAGGAAGGGTTGTCCACGCTGCTACTCCTTCTTGTCATAGCAGCACACACTAGGGTCAGCTTAGCCTGGCCCAGCTGGAGACAACATACTTGCTCATAGACACGTACACACAGACACAGATACAGACACACACACACACACACACACACACACACACACACACAGAGCATATACATGTTCTTGCTCTGCCTATTCTCACATCATCCCCAAGGACAAATGGTTACCTGCCAATGCCTTCTCCTCTGTTCTCAGCAGGACAAACAGACAGAAAGATACACACACACACACACACACACACACACACACACCACAGTCACACACCATAGCTACCTAGCCATCCACCAATTCACACCCAGGCACATTTCAGTCACACTGAGATCTACAAGCTCACACTACGGTGTCCCTGTGTGTAAGAAGCCACACTCCTTCCCTCTCACATGAAAAAAACAAAACTTGCAGCTGAGCACTGGTGGCTCATACCCTCTAATCCTAGCTACTCAGAAGGCTGAGATTTGAGGATCATGGTTCAAAGCCAGGCCAGGCAGTAAAGTCTGAGACTGTTATCTCCAATTAATCATCAAAAAGCCAAAAGAGGAGCTGTGGCTCAAATAGTAGAGCATTAGCTTTGAGCACAAAAACGCAAGGCAAGTGCCCAGACATTGAGCTTAAGCCTTAGGACTGGCACAAATAAATAAATAAAATATCCAGCAAAAATTGGGATGGAAGGAAGAAAAAAATCCCACTGTCACAAATAATCATATTTACATACCCACTCCCCTTCACCCCAGCCGGCCATATGCCCACATCCCACACGATTATTTCTTCTCACACATGTACATACACACACACCACAGACACACCATGGACACTGCAGACACACTAGAGACCATGTCACCCATGCCCCATGTAGTGGGTGTCACACAGTCCCAGGTGGAAGCCTCACCTTTCTGCACTTGCAGCTCCATGGCTGCATGGACCCGGTGCTCTGAGTGGCGATGTCTCATCTCCACTACCAGGCAGCAATAGAGGCCGCCATCTTGCACAGTCAGGTTCCGCATGGTGATGGAGAAGTTGCCATGGTGGTCAGAGGCTGTCTCCAGCCCGTGGCTCTGGAGCAGGTTATGGCTGGTGTTGGAGGCCTGGTGGCCTCCGTGGTACGGATGAAGGTTCTGGAGGGTGACATTGCGGATAGGCCGGTGCTCTGAGCACACCTGCACCTCACCCCGTGAACTGCGGAACCACGTCTTGTAGAAGCTCACATCATGCCCTTTGGGCACAGGGCCCAGGAGCTGGCAGGCAAGGGTGATGTTCTCCCCCTCGGGACACACGTACAGGGAGTATGGCGTTGCTACCTTGAAGGCTGCCACCAGACCTGCTCAGAGAGAGAGGAGATCCCTATCATCTGTCTGAGTGATGGCTGCCCCCTTGTACCCTAGATCCAATGGCCTCAGCCACTCTCCAGCCACAGGCCCTGGGCAAGTCAGCTGCCCTCTGAGCCTTGGAGGCAGACAGAAGACTGGTTGTCCAGAGTGGGCCTCTCACAGGTCTGGCGTGCATCCTGGTTCCAACTCTCCCTGTGACCTTTCTTACAGGCCCATTCATGACCTGCACAGTGGGTTCATGCCCCATGCCAGCCAGTGGCAGGCAGGGTGCAGAGCAGAATGCCTGTTTGGGCAGCAGCTATTTTGTGTTTGGCCACCCTTTGGGGAGCCTTCAGCACCCTCTTCCCTTCCCCATCCAAGGACTGGTTTGCCTCATCCTCTGCTTAGGTGCAGGCCAGTGCTGGGAGTCCCTAGGGAGGGGAGGGGCACCAATGATTGAGCTAGCTAGACTAGTCTGCACTTTTGATTCCAGAACCCCTGAGCAGAGTCATTTTGCTTCAGGGGACTAGGGGAGAAAGGAGACAGCCTTCCAGACATGGCCAGAGACCTTCTGGAAGGAGGAAGAACCTTTGGGCTTGATGGACAAATACAAAGTAGTGAGTGGAGGGTGCCTTAGGCACAGTGGTGGATAAGTGGGGGGCAAGGGGGCTGAGGCACCTGAGGGGTAAGTACAGGGACTGGAGTGGGGAGTCACCTCCTCCCATGCACTACCTCCCTACCAACCAGACAACCGTGTTCTAGTTCTCTTCAGTTTGCTTCCAATGAGCAGACAATGTAATCTTCTTTCTCCCAGACCAAAGCACCTACTTCTGAGAACAGAACGTAAGGCTGGTTTCTGTTCTTCTCTTTAGCTATGTGAGCCTCAGTTTCCTCATCTGTGCAATGGGAGATAATTAGCTTTGGCACTGACTGGAAGAGTGAATGAGGCAAGGCAGGCAGACATACTCTAAGCCCCTCACCTCAAACTTGCTCTGTCCATCTAAGAGATGGATCCACATAGAGAAGCCCCCAGATTTTTGGAAGGTCATTGCCAAGATGTGCAGAGACTTCAGAGTTTCTTTGGAAAGATACTGAGCTCCTTTTTGGTGGCTGTACAGCAGCCCAGGAAGAGGAGAAGCATTTGCCCGCAGTTCTGGGTGTGCTCTCAGAGCCTGGAGGAGCTTCGAGGAAAGCAGAATCCAGTGAGAACTGGCATAGGCTGTGTACTGAGCTAAGGGATGTATGCATACCTAGCCACCCTGTGCAGTAGCTGCCACCTTTAATCCCATTTTGCTGGTGAGAAAACCAAGGTGCATGTGGACCTCCAGTAACTACTGGCCATCACGTAGCCTGTAAGTGAGCACTAGAGCCAGAATGAAACTCGGGCACTTGGTGGTCACACTGGGGGAGAAAGTTCAGAAGCTGAGCCATATTCAACTTCCAACTTTTTATTTGCTCCACAAACTTTTTTTCCTTTAGGTTGCTAACATTCAGATTCCTAGTTTCTCTTTGAAGATCAGTGGTAACACCCATCTAGTTCTCCCACAAGGCAGCTGGAGGCTGGAGTCTGTTTTCCCATAGCCACCGGCACACCAGTTTACCCGTCTTTACTGCTCCCTGATGCCTTCACTTGCTTCATGCTCTCATCACACTTGCTTGCCTTTATGGACTTTTGACTTGTGACAAAGGAGTATAGGGCACTGGACCAGCCTTGATGGGGACTCCACTGCCTAAGTCCATTGTTCTTAGGACAAATGAAGTCCTTAGGCTCAGAAATGATTCTCCCAGCAATTCAGTGGAAGGCTGGCAGAGCAGGGATTAGCCAACACATTGTCCTAACCCCTGAATGGGGCAAGAGAAGTCCCAGATCGCCAGCAGTGTCTTTAGCCTATGTGGACTGGATCTGACTGCCAAACGATGGCAAGGCCAGAAATAGGAGGAGGCCCATGCCTAGTGAAAGGGCTTGTGCCAGGGCTACTAAAAAGAATCAAACCCTCCCAAGTGGACCCTGGTGTCTCTGCCCTATGCTGCCCCCTTTCCAGCAGCCATGTGGCAGCTGGTCCATTTCCCATTGCCAAAGATCATCATTTCCCCTGGCCAGTGGTCAACTTCCCATTACCAAAGATCATGTCCAAACCCAGAGCCACCCCAGAGCTTGGAACCAAATTCAGATCCAGCACTGGTGACTGCCTTGGGCACATCACCACCTTGGCGGCTGTCAAGAGGTTGGGCACAACAGAGGCCAGAGCTTTCAGGCCTGGGAGGAAGGGGACAGAGCAGGGGAGGAGAGCACTATGAGGACAGAGGCATGGATGGGGTGGTGTCCAGGTGTGAGATTGATGCACAGTCTGGCCAGTCCCCAGGCAGAAAGCCTTAGAGACCAACTAGTGGTAGTGGTACTTGTGACTCAGGACTCAGGGTTTCTGGCCGAGGCCTCTTCCGTGAAAGCCCACAGAGACAGAAAGACATGAGGACACAGAAGAGGGAATTGCTCAATGCTTACCCAGCCCCTTATATGCCACCTACCCCATCAGTTCCCACAGTACCTCTTCCCCTTTTGTTTAAAACAAAACAAGAAGCTGCCTAGGATTAGGGTCTGGGGGCAGGGGAGGGTGCTCAGTTCTGTCAAAGTCATGGGTTTGTTGTGCCTGAGGCCCAGAGTAGCCGGTCCTTGGGCAGTCACTCCAGGATACAGAGCAGGCACCATGTAGTAGACAAACACGGGGACCGCATGGGCCTGGGCTCTGCACCTGCGCACCCAGCAGGAGCTGGAGGCAGGAGGTGGGGGGCAGGGGCACACATGCAGCACGGCTGCAATTACAATCACATGCAGGAGGATGTTGTTCATTGTCAGCCGCAGATTCTTTCAGACACCTGGGTCATTGTCAGAGACCGGGGAAAGTGGGTGGGGAGGAAGGGCCCTGGCTCCAGGGTGGCCAGGAGCTTGTAGGACAGGAAAGTGCCCTTGGAAGGGCCTGTGCATGTGCCAGGAGGGGACAGTCACACTCAGCATTGGTCTTAGGGCCTGGCCACTGCTCCACCTAGACCTACCTGCTATGAGTAAGACCACATAGGAACAGCTAGAGGGAGGGTGATAGAAAGTAGGAAAAACCCAGACATCAGAATTACAACTCTAGCCTGGGCAGCAAGAGCCCTGGACCCCAGTGCCCATTTAGCTGGGGCCTGGCTGTAGAGCCTTAGTCAGATCCCACCTTTTTCTCTCAAGCTCTAAAATCCTAGGGGCATTGTGTGGGGAGGGGGAGCTGTCTTATGTCTGTTTATGTATTATGGACATGCTGACAACTTACCCTTGTTTCATTTCATTCACCCAGCACCCTCTGATGTGGGTTTTTATCATGTCTGTTTCAAAGAGAAGTCAAGTGACTTGCTCCTATGTGGCTAAGCTGAGATCCACACCTTGGCTACACCATCCTGCTGACAGGAAGAGCCCCCTACCCTCTGGTGGGTAGGTCCCATATATCATCTTTTAGCTATTCAGAGAGAAGGAACTGACCCCAAATCGACCTTGCACTGTCCTTGCTCTGCCACCTACTCAAGCTGAAAACATTCCTTCATTCCACAAATAGTTAGCAAGGACTGCACATGAGCCAAGCCCTAGACAAAAGGCTGAGGAGCACCCAGGATCAGAAAGCATCTGGCTTTTGAACTTTCTAGCTGTGGGGTACTTGGGGGAGGGGAGGGTTTGAGTTGAGTTTTTATCCATGCTACAGGGCAAAGTTGCTCTGTCTCCATACACTCATGTGTGTGTGTGTGTGTGTGTGTGTGTGTGTGTGTGTGTATGCACGTGCGTGTGCACGTGCATGCACACGGGATCTGGTCCTAGGGCTTGAACTCAAGACCTGAATGCTGTCCCTGAGTTTCTTGCTTGATGCTGGTGCTCTACCAACATGAGCCACCACAGCTCTAACTTCAGCTTTTCTGGTAGTTAATTAGAGATAGAATTGCATAGCCCTTCCTACCCCAGCTGGCTTCGAACCTCAACTCTCAAATCAAGTAGCTAAATACAATATGCTATTTTTTGTGACAGTCACCTATTTCTATCCACCAGGTGGGTATGGGGAGGCGGATGGGTGTGGACCAGCTTTCTTATTTTCCCTGACAGGCATGAGCTTTACCCACAGTTGCCAAGGCAATGCCCTGGCCTTTGGAGGTGGATCCCCAGCTTGATTAGTCAGGCTCAGGAGGCCCCACCCAAATTCTGAACTCTGTCCAGCTGCTAGGCTTGCCAAGTAAACAGTTATTAGTTGTCTGTTCTTGCTGGCCGCACGCTAGACGAGACCTGGTCCCTGGCCTTACCATCACGAGAACTGACTCTGGCGCCCTTGCCAGGCCCTGTTCCCCAACATGGTCCACAGGGACCAGAGGAAAAGGTTGGGCTCTATCTTTATCAGGATGCAGAATAAGAGGGACACAGAGGCAAGGCTCAATTAGAAGTGAAGGAAGTACCCCAGGGTAAAGCCTGAGGGCTATGGCCAGCAAGTCTGCCCCTGGGGCTCTCTGACCAGTGAGGACAAAAGGCGTCCCATGTGTTTATTGATACCTGCACCAGCAGGAAGTGTCCATTCACAGGCCGGGAAAGGGAAGCTGGCTACTATGGGAGGAAGCTGTACTTCCAGCTCTTTGGGAAAGTGTCCCTGTGTTCAGAGCTGAAGACTCCAGCCGGCGTGCCTTCCAAGGAGGGCCTGGGCAACAGGCCAGGACCCTGGCGGCTTCTCTGCATGACTCTAGCCTCCACCCAGCTCTGCCAGAGAGGATGGCAGCAGGATGCTACATTTCAAGTCCAATCTCCTGTTATCTACCAGGTTGACACACAGGGCCTCAAAGGTGACAGCAGTAGCTACTTTGTTACAGGTGTGGTTCTAAGTCCTTGCATATGGATTTGCTCCCCTACTCTGTGAGGTAAGTAGATTGTCTCACAGATGTGGACACATAGCACAGAGAGCATAAAGAGCCTGCTTAGACTCTCACAGGGAGTAAGTAGCAAGTCAGTATTTGAACCCAGGCTTCCAAGAGTCTGATATCCTCTGACTACTCTCTAGAAACTAGATATAGTCAGGAACTGACTGGAAGCACCACCTCCTTCCCACAGATAGACAGCTGTCCTGACTAATGAGGGCCCAGAGTGCCTGGTGGCTTTGATAATTTAGGTAGTTTTACTTTTGGTTTTACACTAATAACATTGAATCATCTAGAGAGGTTATTCCCTTTTTAGTTTTCTCCCAGTCCTGATTATATCAAAGAGAAAGTTGTAGTTGATGTTACTCTTGTCTTCAAAACATCTTTCTGCTACTTGCTAATCTTTTCTTTTTATTTAACTTATTTATTTCAGCAAGAGACAGCAGCAGACCTGAGACTTAACAGTCTTCCCTAGGCTAAAGTTTCCAACTAGAATTTAATGCCCTTATTTGGTTTTCCTATGCTGTGTTTTTATGATTCTGTTCTATTTATGGCAGGCGATTCTGGTTTTCCACTTATGACAGCAGTATAAAATTTCCCTTCAAAACCTACTTGAACAAAATAAAGAGTAGATTAAAGAAAAAGCAAGTCTATAATAGTTGCTCAGGAGGCTGAGATCTGAGGATTATAGTTTTCAAGCCAGCCAAGGCAGTAAAGTCTGTGAGACTCTTGCCTCCAATTAACTACCAAAAAAATCCAGAAGTAGTTGTGGTGTGGCTCAAGTGGTAGAGTGCCAGCCTTGAGCCAAAAACTCTCAGGAACAAACCCAGGCCCACCCCAGGATAGACACACGCATGTACATGCACACACACACACACACACACACACACACAATTAAATGGATACCAGGCAGATACTACACAAAGGTGACCAGTGAAGGAGCCCAGAAAATAACATCCTGAAACTACTCTTCAAAGAGCAGTTTGTCTCACAGAGACCATGTCACCCTGCTTACACACTGCACAAGGGAAATGTGTCTGTATTTGGGATCCCATGATGAATGAGCAACAAAGGCACATGGAAGATGAGATCCTATATATAAAGAATAAAAGAAATAGGTTTGGACAATAGCAAAGCAATTCATTATTGAATGACTGGTGGGCAAGATGGTGGCATCAACTTTCTCTTTGGAGATGGTCAGCCAAAGCAAACAGGCTAAGCATGAGATTACATTCAGAAAAGACCTCACAGAGACAGGAACCCCTGAGTCAGGATGGTCTTGAAACTGCAATAACCCATCTCTGGAGGATTTTAGGAGAACTTGCAGGTCCCTCCATGGACATTCGGTATTCTGGGTGCCTATGGTGGCAGAGGGCGGGGGGTGGGGAGCTAAACCCAACTTGCAGACTCTAGGAGTTTGGAAAGGCCAGTCCCAGTGACCCAAGTCATATCTTCCCATTCCCTGGGCATGCCATAGGCCATTGACAAGTGGCCCCTGGCTTGCGGGGGGGGGGAGGCGGTGGGGGGGGAGATGGGCAGGTAATAACATGGTGCACAGCATTCTTGAGGACGAGGCCCTGATTGGCTCTGCACAGCTGCCTGTGGGGGAGGGACAGTCAGTCCCAATTAAGATGAGGGACTTGCTGCAGTATGCTGAAGAACTCACCCATGTCACAGAGCAATAGAAGACCAGCTTGGAATTCAAACATAGATGATCTGCCTCTCAAAGCCAAACTTTGGTGGTTTGTTTTTTTTTAAGTTGCACATAGGACATGTATGGCAAGCCCCTTGCTTTGCTGGCCCTGATTTGTGGGCATGGGAAGTCTGTGCTGATCCCTGGTAATAACAGACTGATCCTAGGACAGTGCCCACCCTAGAATCTGAGGCGTCAAGTTCAGTGGGCAGGACTCTGTCATGACTGCCAGGACAGATGGAACCTGAGGACTGTCCATTCCTCTCCTGCTCAGGACTAAGATTTCATATCCTACAATTAGAGAGGTGGGGCCTGAGCTTCCCGCTGAGCACCCCTGCCTAGGCTGCCTTCTGTCAAAGACAGGTGACTTCTACCCTGCTCAAGGCAAACAGGAGTAACCAGCTGGACCAGGGGCTCCTCAGCATCTCAGGCCCCTGAGTGTCTCCAGCAAAGGCCTCTCATATCAATGGACTGGTGTTGGTATGCATTGGTGGTGCATTGCCATGGGGGCCTGGCCATGGGCTGTTCCGCTTTCTCCTCCAGCCTCCAGGCAGAGGTCATAGATTTCCCAAGAGCTGACCACCACTGGGGCAGCTTAGGGCCCTGGGTTGCTCAACAAGCCTTTGCAGTCTTGTTTACTATGAATGGGAAGGTTGGGGGAAAGGTTACACCTCCCTTACCCGCAGTGCACCCTTGTAAGTTTAAGTGTGATGCCCCAGGTTTAAGACTCCTGAAGTCAGCTTAGGACATGAAAGGGCAGTAACTCCCACAGTCCTTGGGTCTGCTGCATCCTGGCACCCTCCCCTATCCCAGCATGTGTAAGGAAAATGGTGTCTTTCGAGTTTCCTAGGCTCTCAACACCTTGATTCATCAATGCCATTCTCTTTATGTCCATCCCAGCCTCTCTCCTTCTTGGCACTCCTGCCCAGGGACATGTGATCCTGCACTTCAGCAGCGCTCTGGTGAGAGTTCTCAGCTCCCAGACCCTGTGGCTCAGTGCACCAAGTAGAAAAAGGAGCATCCATTAATAAGTACATCTTAGTGACAGTCAGGACTCAAGCCAGAACAGCTTGAGGCTAAGGGTTCTCCTGACTCCTTTGGTGAACACTGCGGCAAGCCCTCATTCCCTGAACTGGGCTAGGAGGTAGCCCTTCAAGCAGACCAAGCAAGGAGTGTGAGTCTGTGAATCTGTGAGTGGATGTTCTTGCCTACGTAGACAAATAGGGTGATGATTCTGAAACAACTTGTTTCTGGATGCTGTGTAAGCTGGGTCCCTGTGCGATGGGTCTCCAGGACTCAGTTTCCCAAATTGAGACTGCTGAATAGAGAGTAGCCTTGACACAGTGAGGGCAGGAAAGGAGCAAGAAAACAGAAAGGGCCTCATGGGGTCACTTGGAGGGGTCACTTGAGCAGGTGGCCTCAGATGGGTGGGACAAGGGTCTTCCTTCCTGTTGCTGTCCCCAGCTCCTAGAAGCCATGCCCTGCCAGAAGCCATACTCTCAGAACAGAGACTGCCACCCTCCTGTTCTTCCTTCCTTTGGGTGTCATTTTGGGGGGGGGGGCATCCAAGCCAAGGCTCTGTGAACAGGGTGTGGACCCCTTCTCCTTATCACAGGCCCAGGCCTGCTTTCAGAGCAGAGATAACACACTGCTGGCAGATGCCCCAGCTTGTTCTCCGGCTCCCCCTTTCCCTCTAATCCTCACTTCCCCTCTCCTTCTTTTCTGACCTGGCCACTGGATCCTTGCTAGGCTAAGCCCTCCAACTTTTGCCCTGCCTCCCTTTGATTCCTTCCATGACTGACACTTTCCTACTTCTCCCGGTCAAGTTGGGATCGCTGCTTTCTACAGCCTGTCCTTCTCCTGCCTTACGGGGGCAGCTTGTGCCCTGGGTTATCCAGGCCCCAGGAGCCAGCCATGCCCACTGCTTGAGCAGCTGTCAGAGCGCAGCTGTGCCCAATGGCGTGGGGATACTTGGCAGAGGCGCCTCTGCCCCCTGCCTGGAGATCCCAGCCTTGGGACAGAGATCAGGGCAGACTGAGGAAGGAGCAGAGCGTTCCCTCCCTCGCGTACCTCGGGGCCCCATCCCGCTGTGCTCTCCCTGCGCCCCTCTCCCATCCACCTTCGGAACTCACCTCGGGACGCAGCCAGGAAAAACGCGAGGAGCAAGGGTCCCCAGCGCCGGCCTCCAGACTCCAGGACGGAGGTCGGGACATTCATGTCGCCGTCGGGTGAGGCGGAGGGGACACAGGGCACGAGGGACCCCGGAGCAGGGAGCCGGCTGGACTCGGCCACCGGGAGCGAGTGCGGAGCGAGCACGGCAGCGCCGTGGGCGGGCCACTCCAGGGGCTCCGCAGCGCCCCCGGGGGGCTGGGGGCGGTACTGCACCTCTAGGGCGCTCGCAGGCGGGGCTCCGTGCAAACCAGGGAGCCTGCCAGTGTCCTCACAGACAGCTGCCCTCGAGGGCTGGTGTAAAGCCATCTCCACTTTTTTGGAGGTTGCTATGGTTGCATGACCCAAGGAGTCCTGTCTATGTCTAACTTAGCCTGGTGCGTGGTTATAGTGGCTTGTGTCAGTCCCCACCCACCTGCCCTGGAGTAGTCTGGTGAATGAGAATTTGTACCCTATATCCTGCAGCCCTCCATGGCTTAGCTCCAGCTGTGTAATGAACAAATGCCCGAATCCAGTAATGAAATCCAAGAGTGGTAATGAGGTAAACAAGGCAAACATGCACATGCATGCGCGTGCACACACACACACACACACACAGCAGGCTGGACACATCCCCACACCAGGAGATACACAGCTCTGCCCACTCTGCCTCCCTGGTGTCTGGATATCTGCAAACTCACTTTTCTTCTCCTTGTCCTCCTCCTCCTCCCCCTTGTCCCTCCTCTTCCCTCTCCTCCTCCTTCTCCCCTTCCTCCCCCTTCTCCTCCTTCCCTCTTGTGGGATGGGAGGAGTGGTGGTGTTAGTGATGGGACACAGAAACATCTTAAGCAAGCCCTCTGCCACTGAGATACAGCCCTACCCTTCCACCGACCCACTTCTAAGGCCTTTCTACCCAGTCACGACGGCACCACAGGGACTATCTCTTCTCTGCTCTCATCTAAATTCTTGTCATTCCCCAGGGCTCCACTCCAGTCCTTCCCTTACAGCATGTCTGGCCTCCCTAGAGGCCCCTCCAGTCTTTTCTATCACACTCCTTTTGGCTATCCTACCAGGCCTGTGGTATAAACAATTGGTTCATTGCCTGAGGGGTCTTCTGCCCTTCAAGGCTTGTTTGGGGGGAGAGTGGCCTCCTCCTTCTGTGATTCAGAGTCTCTGATACAGACCAAGTGTGGTCACTCATCTGTGTGACAAGTCAGAGAGGGAGAGAGCCTGGGCTCTCTGGCAGTGACCAGAGTAGGGACTTGGGTGGAAAGAGACGGAGACATTGCTGCTGTGCCTGTTGTCCTCCAGCCCAGCTGAAGCTGCCAGGGGGTGTTGTAGCCCCTCAGGGATCTACAGGTGACTTTCCGCTGAAGAACAGTGAGCAGAGTCCAACAGTGGCATAGCATGTGATCTAACTAGGGAAGGGTCCAAGTCAGGCAGACACAAGCCCACCCCAGCCATCCTCCACAGAAGTGAAATGGGTTCACTCCAGCCTGAGACTCTAAATACCTCCCCCAGCTCTTCTACTTCCTTCCCCCTGCTGCGCTGCCCAATACTGAGCTCCCTGGGGTTGCATCAGGGTGAGATATAAGCATTGCCCAAGCTGTGGTCCTAAAGTAACAACCTCAGGGCCTCTTTCTCCAACTTAGGGCAAAGCAGGAAGAGATTAGGGCAGGAAAAAGGTCATTAAGCCTGACTTCCTCCTGGCTCAGAGACCAGATCAGAGGAGGTCAGATCACTGTCCCCACCCATGCCTAGGCCTGGTCACATGGCAAGAAGGATGCAAGGGGCAAGTCGGTTGGAATCCCTCCTCTAAGCCCTGGCAGCTTGCAGATTATTTTTTTTTTCGGTGCCAGTCCTGGCACTTGAACTCAAGGCCTGGGACTGTCCCTGAGTTTCTTTTGCTCAAAGTTAGCACTGTGCCACTTGAGCCACAGCACCACTTCCAGCTTTTTCTGTTTATGTGGTTCTAAGGAATAGAATCCAGGGCTTCATGCATGCTAGGTAAACACTCTACCACTAAGCCATCTTCCCAGCCCTTGCATGAGTTTAAGCTCACTTTGAGTCTTTGTTATTTGAGACAGTAGGCCTAGAGCAAGCCTGCTGATGGCACTCCTGTGCTCCCTCAGGGGCACAGCAGGATTCAATCTGGGCTCTTCCCAGGTGCTCACAGCTGCAGCCAGAACTATGCAGAAGATGGAACACAAGCCCATTATGGGAAACAATGGGAAGTCAGTCAACTAACAGACCACAGGACACATTTCTAGGATATTTCATCCTTGAGATGAAAGTTCAGACTGAGCCAGGCACCAGAAACTCTCACCTTATAATTCTAGCTACTCAGGAGGTTGAGATCTGAGGATCACCGTTCAAAGTTAGCCAGAGTAAGAAAGTCTTATCTCCACTTAACCACACAAAGCTGGAAGTGGAGCTGTGGCTCAAGTGGTAGAGAGTCAGCCTTGAGCAATAAAGCTAAGGGACAGTGCCCAGGCCCTGAATTCAAGCTCCATGACCAAACTCCATGTTCAAACAGATCCTCAGACTTAGCACTATTTACCTCTCTACTCTGGGTGAGAAAGTCAGAGAAATAATGAAATAACTCATTTTCTCTCCTGGTATGCTTGCTATTTTGAGATTTTTTAGAAATTCTAAGGTCCAAAGGATTGTCTTCCCAATGGTAAGATTCAGTCCAGGTGATACAGACAGCAGACCAGAACCCCAGAATGTGTAAATTAGAAGAAACTTTAGAAGTCAAAGAAGATCCTTTGTTAGCAGACAGAAATAGTCCAGAGAGGGGATATAACATGTATACAGCTACACAGCTCCATTTTAAAGCTGCCAGTCTTGCCAACTTTGGAAACAGCCACCCAACACTGGGTCCTGAAGACCAAAGCAGAGCTACATGTAGATTCCAGGAATCAGGGGCAGTGACAGACTTCTTGCTGCCCATCTGTCCATCCCTCCCTAGATGGTCCCAGAAATAGAGACAGGATTCTGTCTTATGCACACCTGATTTCCATCTCTGCCCTTAGCAATGACCTCTAAAGTCCTACAGCATATATAACCTAGTTCACTAATAATGGTGATGCATTGGTTACTTTTGCATAGCTGTAACCAAAATACCTCAGAGAACAACTGAATGGAGGAAAGATTTATTTTGGCTCATGGTCTGTCCAGGATCACTTGGTTCTAGGCACTTGAACAGAGAACTACATGGTAGTAGGGGAGAGGGGCTCCTTACTTCATTGTGGACAAGAGGAGAAAGGAAGTGTCCAGAGAGACCACTTCCTCCAGCTAAACACCCCTCCCAAAGTTTCCACCACCTGCCTGTGATGGACCCAGCTGTGGACCCAGCTTCCATCATCAACCTGTGGGGGACAGTCCATGTTCAACCATAGCAAGTAGTCTGCACCCCAGGCAGGAAAAGTCAGTACACTCATTAATGACTTGACTGTTCAGAGAGGGTTAGTTGAACATCCAGAGATGAGTAACCACAGTAAGAGCCAGGTGCCAGTGGTACATGCTTGTAATCCTAGCTATTCAAGAAGCTGGGTCTTAGGATAACAGTTCAAAAATCAGCTTGGGCAGAAAAGTCCCTGAGAGGGGCTGGGAAGGTGGCTCAGTGGTAGAGTGCTTGCCTTGCATGCATGAGGCCCTGGGTTCGATTCCTTATCACCACATAAGCAGAAAAAGCTGGAAGTGGTGCTGTGGCTCAAGTGGTAGGGCGCTGGCCTTGAGCTGAAGAGCTGAGGGACAGTGCCCAGGCCCAGAGTTCAGGTCCCACGACCAGCAAAAAAGAAAGAAAGAAAAATCCCTGAGACTCATATCCAACTAACCACTGAAAAGCTAGAAGTGGAGCTGTGGCTCAAATGGTAGAGTACTAATCTTGACCAAAAAGCTAAGAGAGTGCCCAGACACTGAGTTCAGCTAAATAAATAAATAAATAGTCACATTATTACTATCACATGTCCAATGGGAAATAAGAGGAGGTGATGTGACTAGAGTCCAGGGAGAGCTATAGAAAGTGGCAGGAAAAATGCAGCCCCAGCTGAACTGCAATGAGAATCAGAGACAAGTGTCTACTCCTCCCCTCTTCCCACTCTGAACTTTGTCATTTCCTCCCATTCACCAGCCTTTCCTGAAGCAGAAAGCAAGGGAGCCCATGCAAGGTGATCTGTTAGGGAAGGTGTAGAAGAAGATAGAGCAAGGGACCAGGAAAGCCAGCATGTGGCCAACTCAGCTTACATAACGCCATATCATCCTTCTCTCATTGGTTCTTAAGTGTTGATTGCTAAGTTTTAATTGGATGAATGTTACTTGCCATTCAAATTGCCCAAGCATCTCTAGAGATGGCCAACTATAGGACTACAAAAATTTCTTATAATGAAGGTCATTTCAGTGGGTTTTGTTTTTCACAGCTCAACAAACTGCCCATGAAATTGCTCAAACTCAATGTCCTCCCTCTTTAAAAGGCTGGAAATATTCTATTTTAATTTACATAAACAATGGGTGAAGTTTAAATGCTGTGTCAGACTGAGTGCCTTATATTCTTGCATCTTGCAGTCTGGGAGGAGACCCAAAATTTAGTAAGCACTGGGTTGGGGTGACCACAGTGGTGGTACAAGCAGTTGCCTACATTGGTTTTGATGAAGTCTCTGTGCTTTCTTCCCCTGAGAGCCTGTGACTTTCTACCATCCCATGAGTTCTCCCTTTGCTACCCTCTGTTAGATAACACTGAGTGAATTCAGCCCAGGAGAACAGCCATCTGGGTCCCCCTTCCTCTAGCCCTTGACCAAGATATTGACCATGCATTTCTCCACAGGCAACCACTCATGTGTACGTGACCATCGTGGATGAGAATGACAACGCTCCTGTGTTCCAGCAGCCTCATTATGAGGTGGTGCTAGATGAGGGCCCCGCTACAGTCAACGCCAGTCTTGTCACCATCCAGGCTTTGGACTTGGATGAAGGGCCCAATGGCACCATCCGCTATGCCATTGTCGCGGGCAATATCATCAACACCTTCCAGATCGACAGGCACACGGTCAGCAGCTGGCAGGAGGGTCCAAATGGAGGGTGAAGCTTCTCTGAGGGGTTGGTGAGAAGCAAAGATGGAGCCCGGGAGGAACCTGAGGGGTGAAGAGCT